TGTTTACACTTACAATGGATACAAAATGTATTTTTAAGGTGTACCTTATTTCATCGCTGTATTGCAATACTTATTCGTTGAGCGAGGAAAATAATAATAAGTGGAGGTAACCACTTATTAAAATGACATTAAAAAATACCAAGTTACTAAGCCGTACGTAGCCTGCAGTAGCGCCCGTGGTGTCAGACTAATATTTCCCCACTATGGCTTTAATAACACAAATAGAAGAAAATATTGAAAGCTTTTGCGTTAGAAAACGTAGCAACTACTGCGCTCAATACTATAAATGGGCGCGTATTAAAATATCACTTAATAAAATCTTTCTTCGTAATTATGTAATTTTATTATTAAAACTATCGCCTATATATTAGATTCATACCAAAGTAATAAAAAGTTTTAATTTAGACATGGTATTTTTTTTTTCTGTGAAGCAATTACCTAAAAGGGCAAGTTTGTTTTCAGGTTTATTCTATTTCTACTTGGATTTTTGTTGGTAATTCTAGTACATCAATTCTAATTACATTCTCTAATTATTGTATCCAAATATAAAGTGCCTTTTAACTTGTATTCAGATATACAAATTCGCTTCGATAAATTTCAATCAAGGCTAATGAAAGTCACACAATGAAAACGATATCAATTACATAGAAATTAGTTTTAGTATTTTTAGGGCGAATAAATTACACCTAAAGCTTTATACGTGTAGGCTTCTATGCTTTTAATCATATTTATTAAGTTTGCCGGACAATGCTCTTTTATAGCGTTGGGATATTTTAACTTTATTTGAGATAAACTCACTAAAAATAAAATAAGACATGTGTAATGTAAAGCCTGTAAAAAAATCTGTGCCTCTACAACTTCTTCTTTTTTTTAGGTCTGGGCCTCAGATTTCTGTATCTGCTTCATGATCATTTGTCAATCTAATAGATGAGTAAGTGATCCTATGCCTGAAACACGACGTCGACTTTTTGGGTCTAAGGCGGTCTAAGCCGGTTTCCTCACGATGTTCTCCTTCACCGTTCGAGCGAATGTTAAATGCGCACATAGAAAGAAAGTCCATTGATGCACAGCCGAGGATTGAACCTTCGACCTCAGGGATGAGAGTAGCACCCTGAAGCTGTGTACACATTAAGTCAAACTGTTTGGAGCCATTATGTACATTATCAGAATACAAATACGTATTAAAATTACTTTCTATGTAACTTAAGTGCTAGTCATAGTCTGAAAGTCAAACGTAAAGTTTTTTAATTACAGTTAGAGTGGATTTCCAACAGTTTTGCTTTAGCGATAGTATGAATGAAGGAAAATCTACTTTATTAAAAGAGCTCCTTTTTGTACATAGTTAATATAATTTTACATAATTTCAAAATTTACAAAATTAATAAACATTACGAGCTCCATTTAAGTGTATATAATTTTGTATTTTAATATACTTAAATTATATAGTAAATAGTTGAAAGTTCAGCAATTTAACATTTAACTCAATAATTATATTAAAATTTAATTCATATTTAATATGATTTGACTTTTATTCAATTTTGTTACTGGGCAGTCTTAAAAATGTCACTAAGTACATTTTTTTTATATAATACTACTAGCTGACCCGGCAAACGACGTTTTGCCATGTACATATATTATTTCTAGAAAACATTTTTATAGTTCAATAAAAATAACTATAATAAAAAATTGCTGAATCATAAAAAGATAAGATAAGAAAAATTGTCTAAAAAAATTAAACATTAAATTTTGGGGTAGACATTTCTTATCACTTAGGGGTTTGAAAGATAGATAGTAGCCGATTCTCAGACCTAATATGCGTAAAAAATTTCATAGGAATCGGTCGAGCCGTTTCGGAGGAGTATGGGAACGAACATTTTGACGAGAATTGTGTATATATTAGATGTTTCCGTTGAAACTTGAATTGAAACTTCATTTACAGATATAGGCGCCAATTTAATAAAAAAATACAAATCTACGATTCGAGTAATTATAGTATACATTTTTTTAAATTACATTCATTTAAAGATTTTTTTTAGTAATACCGCCGTCCCGATTGGTATACCGCCCTACCAGTACTTACAGGCAAGCAAAGTAAAACACACAATAATATAATGAAGCTATGCCAGTTTTTCATTGTTTTATAAATTTAAATTCGGTTTTCCTTTGAGTAATGAAAGGGGCTGAAATTCCATCAAAGCGCTCTCATTTAATTAAGACCATCAATTTGTATATATAAAATTGTTTATGCTATTTCACCATTCAATCCCAAAAGACATTAATGGCCACCAAGCATGTTTTTTAAGTCGACCGTAAAAACGAAATAAAAACAATGGAAGATTATGGCGTATTTACTTTATTGTTTCAAACACTGTCATTAATAAAATAATCGTGTTGTATACGTGTTCATTATGACCTGAATGATATTTTATTTTTGCTCTCAAACATCAAACATGTTAAAAAAAATTTTTTTTAATGTAATAGGAGGCAAACAGGCAGCAAGTGCTTTGCTGGCCTTTCGAGAATTGGTACGCTCTTGTAGAATGTATTGTAGAACTCGCATGGGTCCGCCAAGCATCCCCGAATACACAATGTATATACATAATTATGTAGGAATAAAGAAAATAGTAATAGCAAATAATTAATCCAGCAAGGTTTTATTTAGAACGACTCGTAGAAAGTTTTCTATGGATGGAAAATGTCCACTGTGTAATTTTTCATCACAGTTCTATTGTAAGTCTATGATAATCACTTTTCAAGCGGCTTGATCCCTTGGGGTCTCTCTGCATCTTCTTCCGCATTTACCATGGACAGTGTTCAGAGGAGTTATTCGGACTAATACCTGCAGCTGAGTTTCATCATCGGACGTCAAGGCAGAATACAAAATACCATCCGTATCACCTAGACGTCCGTCCCACAACTGAGCGTTTCTTAAGGCAGTTTTCCGCGCAATATCACTATGTGGAACCAGCTGCCCACTGAATGATTTCCGGACCAATTCGACTTATGGTCGTTCAAGAAAAGAGCGTACCAATTCTTAAAGGGCCGGAAACGCACTTGCGAGTCTTCTGACAATGTTAGTGTCTATGGGCTAACATCTCCTGCCCGTTTGCCTCCTAAAAAAACATAAAAAATCACATATTATTCTTACAGTAGCTTTCGCCTAAAGATACAGCAGCGTTTATTGACTAAAACGATAGATTATATAAACAATTGAGTCAACCAAAGTCAGTTTAATAATCTTAATATGTATATAAATTGCGCGTCACGTTGTTTGTCGGCTATGGACTCCTACTTAACCGATTTCAATCAAATTGGCACACCGTGTGCAGTTTGATCTAACTTACAAGATAGGATAGCTTTCATCTCAATTTATACCCGCAATATAATTTTATTGCAAATTATTTGTTTATTATTTGATAGTCACAATTCTAACAGATGGCGCTGTGTTGAAAGTACCAACGTTTCACATAAGCTACAATTTAATGGAATAACCACCAAAAAAGCATGGTGGTCCCCATGACTGGTGTTCTCCTACCGTGTCCCTTGAATAGTTAACTACTATGTAATACAACAAAAACCTTAGCCACACTTGCTGTGGCCGGGTTTGTTAATTTTAAATATAGAATTGTGATAATTAAGTTAACTGTAGTTTTTATAGAGTTTTATTTATATTTTGTTCTGGATTTTACACAATTGTAATTGTTCAAAGGATAATAAAATAAGAAAAACAATAAAACTTTGTGCAAGATCATTCGCCATACCTCCAAAACGTTGAACCCTTAACTTGGCACTTTACATAATTTGTATTAGAATAATACTCTCATATTATTAGCGGACGTCTAGACGTCTTTATATCAAAGATTTATCGAAATAACTAGACGACGCGAAATTTTTAAAACATAATTGTTTTTAACGGTATTTTATAAAACGTGGTATCCGACTATATAGTAACTAGTGTTGGCGATAACTACAAATATTATATTAAATATCTCGCTTAGTATGTATCTGGTGTTTGAATAACAATGAGTATAATACGGGGTCGTGGGATCAATTTCCGGTGAGGCAAAAACTCTAAACAGCAATCTAAACTCTCTAAAAAAAATATACATCAGACTCAACAATAAGGGCTTTTTCACACGTACCACAACCACAACACGTCGCAACGATAAAATGCTGTTCATCAGTGGTTACGTGTGAATAGTGTCGCTGCAGCTTTTTGTAGTTGCGTTGTGATACCGACAAATTGTCGATGTGGTTGCATTGTCGCCAATAGTTGCGACGCGGTTACGTTGTGTGCAGACACAGTTCGACTCCGGCTTTTATTGCGGAACGTGTTTCCGCTATGAAAGCCGGAGTTGACTGACCAAACTTATGGAATTCGAAGAGGAAAGTTTGTCACCTCAGTCGAACGCAGAATGAATGAACCGAGGGAGGGGAAGGCGGCGTGCGCGCACTGTCGTTGCGTATACCCAACGTTTTGTTTGCGATGTGGTCGGCCACTAGTCCACAGTGCCGCTGGTGGTTGCGTTGTGGTTGCGATGTGGTCGGTATCACACACACGGTCGATAACGACTGCAAAATGTGGTACGTGTGAATAGTCCTATTCATTTTCAATACAAAATATACGCCCGGCCACGTGGTGTGGTTGAGGTGTGGTTGTGGTCGTGGTGTGGTTGTGGTACGTGTGAAGAAGCCCTTAAACTGAGAATATGTGGAAAGTCTCCGATATGATTACCACAATATAACAGTCAAGAGTATAAAACAATATTGCTATTTATTACCCTGTTTTGCTCAATTTAATATGGCACGATAACGGAATTTTTATAAGTTGTGAAATGTTTAGCCAATTTTTTTAAATAGAACAATAAAATTTATTATAGCCACAGAGAAACCTCACCAAGTTTATTAAACTCACTCATCAATCCTTCTTGTTCCAGATCCAAACAATGATACCAAGGTGCGTCAGTGTTAGTGCCAAAGTGTAGTGCCAATGTAGCAAAATGGGATGCACCCCAAGTATGCTGTTGGACCATAAAAGTCGAAGGCGGGACAGCACCGGGTCCCAGGAGGCTGCCTTGGCTAAGGTGGCCCCGACTCCTGTGTGTCAGAACAAGGCTGTCCAGGCTGCGAGAGCTCCGAGGGCCTCTCTCGAGTCCGACGGCTTCAGCATACAGTTATCAAGCAAAAAGGACAGTTATGTCTCCCAAATGGGGAATAACTTCGCCACGCAGCTACACATCAAGCGCATTTCGGGTAAGTTGTCAATATGTTTAAGTCGGATTTTTTTTTACTTATATGTATTTAGTTGGAGAGACCTTTAGAGCTTTATCAGTAGTGAATTGACTGAGAACGAATATGTTTTTACAAGAAAATAATCATATCCACAAATAATAACATTATTTAAAAAAAAATATGCTTTAACGCAAATTTGATGAACTTAATTTTAAAAAAAGCTACAACCTTTAATGTCTGTTTCGCCTGAGTCACGCCGTCGACTATTTGAGACTAGGACATGGGTTTCCTCACGATATTGTACTTATATCGAGATCCTTATGTTGGGATCGAACCTACGACCTCAGGGATGAAAGTCGCACGCTAATAACAAGCAAACACTGCTCCTACTTAATAAAAACGTAAATTAATAAGTATGCAATTAATATTTATTATATTTGTTTTTTATGAAGAACTATATAATAATTGGTATTATTTATATCAAAAGCATAGTCGTTGGGTTATAGTACATTCCTGAAACTAAATTCCTTTCAAATGTACCAAGATACTGACATTCTCTACCTTCACAATTCTCTATGATTTACCACAAGATAAGATCAAAGTGAGGTTGACAATTTACTAAGCGAGAATTTCAACACTTTAATGTAGGGAAATAATTGGCACCTAACCAGCCGCGGGGTCGTGTCATCCTAATCAATTCTTCTTAGGTCGGGAATTAAACTTTGGACCTCCGTAAACACCATGAGCGTATTCTTAGTATTTAACACATACAATTGTTTTTAGATAAAATACTAATACAAAAGGCGTTTAGTTACTACAATTGTAAAAATTCCACATAAAAATATATAATTATTCCGTTCCGTTGGTTTTGCTTTATACTGTTATCGAAATTATGACCACGTGAAACGAATAGACAATTCTATGTAATTTTAAATTATATTTAAACAATTGTTTTTTTGTTAAAATAGGATCAAAAATATTGAACTAATTAATTTCTATATGGCATCGATTATCGCTCAGGGTTGGCGTTTTGCATTTTGAATGTATTCTCTTTACATACTTCGTTCGGAGAACTATTCGTTCTATGGAAAGTATTTTTGTCTTTATGCTCAATTTTTTCTTGAACGTCTTCAATTATTTTAGCCACGACTCTTTTATACGATTGTTCATAGCATTTATTGTTTGGAAACGGGCAGTATTTTATTGTTTTATATAGAGAAATTTTATGGAGAATTTCTTTCAATTTCGAAGCCGATATTGGTGAAGGCAGACTGAAGTCATGCCAATTGGATATATATAACTCTGGTGATGGTGTTGTCCTCTTGTTTTGACCGATTACATTATTAAGTATTCCGAAAAATATTATTATCTGTAAATTATAATGCCAATCAATATTATGTATAGCAATATTTGTGTATCTATTTCAATACACGTCATTTGTGTTTATAACACATATAAGTCGCAGCAGCCAATCGGATTGCACAATCGGGGGTCGTAACACACATTTGTACATGAAAATATTAGCTATAAATAAATAACTTACGAGAATGTTCATTATCAATAGTTTCTCAACTTCGATTGCAATGTAAGCTATGCACAAAATGCCGTCCATTTAATTAATCACTAACAAACTACGGTCACTTAATTTCACGCGCAGTTCACACATTATAACGACATTGCAGTAATTTAACTGAATTCTGACTTTGACATTTAAATTAGATTCTGGTTTCAATTCAGTCGAGTTGAGTTTAAATCTGCATTAATGAATAATATCTGAGACGCGGAAATGTTTTATTTAAACGAATATATTTTTATGAAAACTTTAAAGAGTTAAGTAGGACTAAATCTCTCTCATCTCTCTCATCACAGGCACAGGAGTGTTCAAAAACTACTTCCTCAACTTCAGGCTAGTTAAAAATTTCGCAATTTTATGTCGGAAAGAAAAGAATGCACATGTATCTTATAGTGTGTGCTATACAAGTTATAGCTGCGTAGAGATGTTGGGCCTCTCTGCATCTTCTACCCCATTTATCATGGAGTGTTTTCAGATGAGTTTTTTGGATATACGAGGCAGATAATTAAGTTCCACTCGATCTCTATCGTTCCACAAATGAGAACGTTCCACTATGTATAACTTGCTGCCTGTCGAGGAGTTACCGAGGTGCAACGCACTCTTGAGCCTTCTGACGTTGCTTCTCGTTGATTCTGCTTCTGACTTGTTGTTCAGCCACACGCTGGGAGGGACCACCAGGAAAATGAAACGTGGGAAGACCACAAAAGCGATGGGCTGACGACAAAGTTAAGGATTCTTGGGAGAAATGGATAAAAGAAGCTAAGTATAGATACAAATGGAATGTTCAGGAGGAGGCATTTACCCAAAAGGGCTCCATACTCGAAGACATAGAAGAACGTGAAGTAATGGAAAAAACAATAACAAACGTAGACTAAGAGTATAATAACAAAACTAACACCCATTTGACATGTAATTTTTAATATGGAATTAAAGTGGTTTTATTATTATTATTCTTTTAATTTACGCAGAACATTTTACTCTGTTTTAAATAAAAACCTTTTAGCAGCTTTGCGACAGTAAATTACGTAAATAATATACCATTACTGAGATGATGAAAATAAATTATTTAAAATACAGTTTTCAGGTTTGCTAATGATATTCGTAATATTGTATTTTGGGTAAAAGCTGGATTCCTATAATTGAAACACTTACGGTAATTGCTTTACTAATTAACATCGAATTTACAAAATACCCGTACTTCTAGTTTTCCTCAAACAATTTTTAGTGATATTTTAATAAAAATAAGAAGTGACATACTATGTCATTTCACTTAAATATATTGTGTTATCCTCTCTATAATGAGCGTTCTCCTATTTCTCCATACCAATTGCTGATACAGCCTATGTTTTTTTTTTACGTTTTTTATTGACTCATACATTCGTTCCACGTCGTATAGAGCAACGTGGTCGCAGCTATTTAAAAGCATCTTGTAAAGCCAAACAGCTCTTCTCGGCTGTTTTATGCCCAAGATTTAGGGACTGAGGCAGTAAATGTTAATTAATTAACATTGAATTGAACAAAAATAAATGTTACATTCACTATTAGTTTGAGATTAACAATTTACTAATGTTTTTCTATTGATTTACCGCTATCATAGCGAAACCTAGTAGATACATGCGACCTCCAAACTTGGGTCGCGCGTTCGATACCACACATACGTATATTTATAAGGGCAATTCGCTTATATGGTGAAAAAACACCACGAAGAATTACTGTCTAAGCTGCAAGAGTCGGCGGCGCGGGCATTTCAGGTATAAGGCTGATCACATTCTTAATTATTTCGTACAGAAATCTTAGAAGTTTAAAAGTTGTAAAACTATTTTTTATTATATTATCGTAACTTCTTGCCCGTGTCAAGGACATCCTTTGATCTTAATATTCGTCCTTGTGGCGTATTGTCTTGAGATTTGTCACAAGGCTTTTAGATAAGATAAACCGTATTTTCCGCAAACTTGTTTCGGAAAAATTGTTATAGCCTTTTCCGGATTAGCGAAAAGTACTTTTTGTAATTCTTTTCGTTTTCTTGTTAGTAACTCTTTAAAATTCTATTTAAAGTTTTTTTTGCATAAATCAGTAACTATTCTTTACATATTTTCATGCATGCCAAATGTTGACAATAGTTCACATTTCTGTAGGATTGATAGTTTTCGTCGTTAACTAAAATTCACGCAGTTAAAGAAGTCCTCTCATCCACCCAGATCATTTTTTTGCAAACTTTAAAGGGCGTACGTACTAGGTAAGTTAATATTATTTATTCGCCGGAAAACAAATCGCGAACCTTCGGTCTTTATACCAGGAGGTGATGGATAATATTTAGACTTAAATTAATGTCCTAATCCCTAGATGGGGCAGAGGGAGTCGACAGTGAGTCTCCATCTCGTTCAGTCTTGAGCCTTAAGCCCTCATATTTCAACCAAAAAATAATTATATATTTGGGTACAGGTAAAAGACCTGGACTGTATTTCAAAAAAATCTGTTGATTTGAGATCCCATCAAAATTAGGACGCCGACTTGGCGACAACCGCGTCATATCTAACCATTATCGTTATCAGAGTAATGACGCACGGCCCTCCGGATAAAATATACCTTCACTGTAATTTAATAACTACAAGGAAATTACGTACGGATATTCCTAATTTAACCGTACATAGGCTGACCTTTTAGTTTCTGTTCCGAAATATTTGAACTGCCAGAATAATAATTCTAGTCTAGTACATTATTTTTAGGAAATCAACATTTGACGTGCTGACATTTTCCTACGCTGAGATTGGACACATGTATGAAATTAAAATAATAATATTACTCACTTAAAAAAACTCGCCATTAATTAAATTTGAAGCATATTTTACTACATATTAAAATATTGACTCCCAAGATTTCTTGTATTTTCTAGTATCAGTATGACACTAGTCATTCATTATATTGAATTTAATCCAAATGTATATATAAATATTAGCATGAAAATATGGAACACCCGGTATATATAATCTATGTGACATAGGCCTAGACAAAACGTTTATCGCGACCCATCAATCAAGGCTCAAGGCTATAAAAAAATAATTTAAGGCAATGAATAAACCATTAGACTCTCTTACCTGGAATATGTGATACACAGAGTTGAGAATTAGTGCTAAATGTGACTTTAATGCCCAAAAAATATGTTTTAGGGTAAGTTATGATTAAGCTAAAAGATCAATATAAACGGACATATCTAAATATAGAGATATTTAGAAACGTAAAACTGTTACTTAACATTTCAAGATCAATTTAATAAATGAAGAGAAATAAAAAAAAACAATCAGTGGCGCTACAACGTTTTTAAGTCTGGGCCTAAGATTTCTGTATCTGTTTCATGATCATTTGTATAATAGGCAAATAGGTGATCAGCCTCCTGCGCTGCACTCCGTCGAATTTTTGGGAAGGGGAAAGCCGGTCTCGCACGTAGACAGAAAGTCCATTGCTGCAGCCGGGGATCGAACCTACGACCTCAGGGATGAGAGTCGCACGCTGAAGCCTAGACCAACACTGCTCCATAATGTACTTTAAATTTCTTCGATGTTTAGCTTGTTCAGCCTAAGTATTTCCAAGTACTCGGGGAAATAATAGATATGAGTTACCATGTACAAAACATCAATGACAGTTTTAGAATTACAATAGATTCATTGTCAAGATGGTTGACGTAATATTACGCATCTTGCATAAAAGTATGTTCTGCGCCGGCGCTTATCAGTCGACCTTTAAGCGCGGTGTCGATGTGTCGATAAATCTCAATGAAATTATACAATTGAGGGTTTAAACTCCCTCTCTAAATTTAATTGAACGTTGCATAGTGTATTGTGATTACGCTTGATTTCTGGTTGTTTTTCTGTAAATTCGATCATCATTTCGTATCCGCTTTCGATTTTTTTAACATTGTTATTGTTATCACAACCGATAGAAAGTATCAAAGAGGTTGTGTATAAGTTATACTCTGACCCTTCAGTTCCCGGAAATAATCGCGTCCAATGATACAGATTACAATAACTTGATTTTATACTTTGCGCTACGAAATACGAAATATATCGATAAACAGCATCCCCACACCGATTCGGTAGTAAAAAACGTGCTATCAAATAATCACGACGGCCGCGGTGTCTTTGTACATAGATAGTGTTTATTGTGATTGTGATATGTGAAGTGATCAATATCATGAATATGGAAGTGGATACAGAGGAATACACAGGTAATTTTCATAAATATGTTACACCAAAAGTCATGTTATTATTATTTCATTATTTTAAACTATGACACGAATAATAATTATTCAGTAGAACCTTGAAAATTTACGAATGCGTAATATGCTTTTTATGTAAGTTTGTGAGACAAAAAGATTTGTTCGTTGACAACGATTGCAGAAAAAACATATTATTCTCACAAATAAAAATGAATATTTGTTTATGGTCCGAACCATATATAACATTGTTATATAACTTACATAGTCCTAAAGGGAGGGTTCTGACCAAATAACATTCTCAGTCTTTCATTAAGATAAAATGCTTACCATAATTAGTTGAGTATAAAGTTGATACTAATTTATGTTAAATGATAGGGAATAATTTATAGTATAATAGTTTTCGTGTTTTTTTTTGACAGACATCACGTACACACACTAACACACAGACACCCACCCACACACATACACACACATACCCCATGTGGTTTCCTTATATGTGTAATGTGTATCCCTATAAATTTTTTTTTTTGTTTACGTTGCGTATGTTATAATGATAGTTTATTCTCACTAAGGAATTAAATATCTGGCACTATATGGTAAATATATTCTTGAAGCCTTGTTGTATGTACAATAAAATATAAACGATTTTAAAGCAAATGGTGACTTTCACCACTATGAGAATCGAAACAGAACAAATCTAAGCGTACTACCAAACAGACTCCAGAAGATAAACCACTCCTTATATGGAAATTGTATTCGTTTTTACAACAAACTCCCGAGCGAAATTAGAGAATTATCACTGAATATATTCAAAACTTTGATAATTATTTAAATGATCCTATTCCCTGGGATTGATTTGTTTCAGTTCAAACAATTTGTTTGACTCAAAACTTGGATATTAAAAAGAGTGGCAGAGAGTTTCTTGCGACCTGGCAAGCCCGCTCTTCGCCCTTGACTTGTGAACTGATAGTAAATGTTAATTTAGAATCAATTTAACATTTATCAACACTTTTTGAACACACTATTTTCTAGTTTTTAAAATAAATAAAGATTTGATTGGTTTTAAATATAAGGGGTTTGTGTTAATATATAATTTGATTACTAAATTTAAAACGTTATAAATTTGTAACTTTTAGTTCATACTGATAAATGCTATTTTATATAATTTTGCGGTCAATTTGCGGTAATTGATAATCATCGCTAGTAAGTGTTGCCAAGGTTTTGCAAATATTCTTGAATAATGAAAGTTTCAAAGTTTAATTTAAATAATATTTAGTGTTGCCGAAACCTTCAGTTTTACTGCACTCAGCTGGCATGCTATACGTTTATGAGTTCTTGAATGTTTTATGTTTGTAGATAGATAAGTGTTTGTCGTAAAGTGCAAAAGATAATAGAAATCTAAAATAAATAATTAGAAGAATTAACATTGTCTATGGAATTTTCTGTGTGTTTTGTATAATAATGAAATTGCTAGCAATTTTCTTAAATTCATTCTTTTAGTACAAAAGGGTCTTAAGGGTCAATATAAATAGGTCACGGAAAACGGGGTTTGTACAGGGCCACACTTTATCTTAGTTATGTTTGTGATAAGTTAGGATGACACTTCACTGGGTTTGAGTATAAAAATATAGGCTTCAAAATAATGCTTTTATGCCTGTTTGCGATTTAGTAAAATCTCTTCTGTTCAACTTTTTTTAACGGTTTTACACGAGTAAATTCTATTACGAAAATTCTAATTTATCCTAAAATCATAGGTATATCAAAAATGTCCAATCGTACCACACAAAGTGCTTTTATTAGTGCTCGTTCAATACTACAGTGTTATACAAAATACCTTGTTTAAATTAGCATCAAATAGATGAATAAAATAACTAAAGCCCCGGTGTGTTACTCCAGAATGGCTGCATGAAATTTGCACATACCGATTATAGAAAAAAATATATGCTCTTATAAACGATATATAACTTAAATTTCTTAATATTTGGGTCACATAGGCAGAGTTATGTTATTTATATAAAATATCGATATTACAGTAGATAAGATTCGGTAGCATTTGGCCGTTGGATAACTATCGTTATCAAGTTAAACAAACATGCTTTATTGATTTTTACCTAACTTGTGTTTGAGTTATGACCTTGGCGGTTGACAGGTCGTAATGACAAAATTCGTATGTCAAAATGACATTTATTATTAACTGTCACCGTGGTGTAGTTAGTACTTTAATATTTTTTTGTGTTATGGGTTACCATGATTTATCACTGGATTGGCCAAATGTCTGATTGAATACATTTATTACTCAATTAAATGAATGTTAACATTTGACATTTAAATACAATAAAATAAAGTCTTTTATTTTGTAGACCTGTAGATTCCTCATAGTATTCTTTATAAAATAACAAATTGAACTTAGGTTTACAGTTCACTGCGTGTTTTTATCTTGTGTTTATGCATTATACCGTCCGTTGACGGATTTTGATACGGTGAGGTGAGGTGTCAAACAATATTGACTTCGGACATCTAATTTATATAATGACCGTTGTAAATATACTATATATGACTAAACATTAATATCAATATTTTTTTATAATATATGTAGTATAACTGTTGGTGTAATTAACATACTATTTTTTATAGAAATTCCTTGTAACCCTAACAATTTGTGATTATTAAAGGCCTTGAAACTCTGAAAGAAAGAGAAAACTTTCTCATTTATCGAACAGGTTTCCTGTGGAGCTTCGAGTTTTTCATTAAATATTCTTTGTTAGTACTTTTTAAACATTGATAAATCTTCGGATACTGTGTAACTTTTTGGACAAATTACACAAGTCTTTATTAGGTTTCTTACTTCTCCGGCTCAGTTCATTACGCATTTGGTTGATTTAAGGTCCAGGGTACAGAAACTTCCAAAAATATGTTTCAGTTCATTCATTCTTAGGAGAAGAAGAATAAAAGGAAAATAAAGCAGTAATATTATTGTTATATTAATTTATTTTTCATTATGCTCCATGTCATGTGGTGTAATATTGCTAGTTCTTGTCCCTTCCACGCCCTTACTTGAAAGTTAATTTTTACATTAATAGATATCATGTACATAATTTTTATTATGAATATTTTTCCACTATATATATAACTTACATACCCAAAGTTTTGGTGCAATTTTCGCTAAAAGAATGCCAGAGCCTATTATCATTAAAAAAGAAAATGCTACAGATTAATTAACGGCTAATAAAAGTAATCCCAGGGTTGTGAAAATAAATCGTTTCTTTATATTAAAATCAATTCTATTAGTATTCGATGCGCTTCTTCTTCTTCAGTCATTCTCTTCATTTCTGAAGGTCATGTTAGTGGCGCCTTTTAACTTCCTCCACTCTCTCCTGTCTCTGCGCCTCGTTGATGGTAAGACCTGTAAGGGCCCTTACTTTATCGGTCAAGCGAGTAGGACATCGGCCTTGAGATCTGGTGCCCTCCACTCTGCCTGTCACGAAGAGTTTTTCTAGACTTTCTGGATCTCTGCGTGTTACATGTCCAAAAATAAACTCAGAATACGTTGGTAACAAAGCGTCGAAAGACGATTTCTTACCCATAACCGTTTTAGTTTGGCCACGTTTGTTTCCTTACTAGTCCAGGGAAACCTAAGAGCATCTATTTTTCTCCTTTAAATATCGATACGCTACAGAAACATCTAATTATAAACGTATTATGCTCCACATTCACAGTAATTAAATTAATGTGGTAATTCGGTTGTTTGCCAGATTGTTGTGGCCGACCGTTACTTAATTTGATACACACAAAAGCACATTTTTAGACGTACGAATATTCTACAATTTTGTTAAACTTTAACCGAGAAACAGCTGATGTAGATATATTACTGCTACGAGAATGTAAGTGCGTGCTCCTATTTCACCATTCCTCCTGCTGATAGAAAAAAAATCTTTGTTTATAATTTATTTTATTATTATTAATTACTTAAGATGTCATGTCGAACATGGTGTAATGGTTGCAGCTCCTTACAAACATTGTGTAACGCAAAAAACTTGGCGATTAAAAAGAGTGGCGGAGATTTTATTGCCAGTTCTTATCTTCCGTTCTACGCCCTTGATTTGAGAACTGGCAATAAATGTAAAATTAGAAGCATTTAATATGTATTTCTTTTTTGACGTTCATAAGTGTACATTGTGTTACCTATATGAATAAATGATAATAATTTGATTTGACTGCTTTATAAAACGATTAAACAGTTAGTAAACTGGAATATATTTAATTTCCCCAAATAACTAGCAAAACATCTTAATAAGTGAGTGCGTGTTATGATTTAATTGACGTAATGCGTGACCAATGGCTGAAGTTCTAAGTGGTTAATATACTTTTGAAAAGTGGTTGATGAAATATTTTCAGATAAGTGAAACGCTACAATTCAATCAGCACCTTGGCGTGTTATTAATTATTCATGAATTATGTAATTATTCATGAATTATTAAGTCACATAAAAGAAGGAACGCTTGATAGCTAAAGTTAAATTTAACAATATTAATAATAAATGTGTTGTTATGTTTTTGTCTGAACCAATAGATGCTACAACCTTTTTAGGTCTGAGCCTCAGATTTCTGTTTCATGATCATCATTTATCAATCTAATAGGCTAGATAGGAACCTCCTATGCCTGACACGCCGTCGACGTTTTTAAGTCTAAGGCAAGCCTGTTTCCTCACGATGTTTTCATTTACCGTTCGAACGAATGTTAAAAGCGACTAGACAGAATTTCCATTGGTGCACAGCCGGGAATCGAACCTACGATCTCAGAGATGAGAGTTGCACGCTGAAGCCACTAGGCCAACACTGCTCATAATGGCGTTTCTTAAGTACGAAAATAATAGTTGCTTATAACTAGTTTTAAGTAATATATTATTATTATTACCTTTAAATCGACGTATGTCAGCCACAGGAGGCTGATCACATACTTGCCTATATAGATAAATGTAATCACATACACAACTAAGTGGCGGTTGGGTCCCATAACGCCCATGGACAGGATCCGATGGCGGGCTCCTTAAATGTAGACCTCGGCAGATCAAAAGACAGCGCGGCCATCCAACGACTAGGTCGACTGACGACATCGTCAAGGAGGTTACCCCCCTTGTGGATTCAAAGAGGCCAGTTCAGGGCGTACTGGAGGAATATGGAGGAGGCCTACGTCCAGAAATGGACCAAATGAATAGGCTGTTGATTATGATGCAACACATACACACATCAGGCCGAGTCCCATAAGACACTATATATGTGTTGAACAAAATGAAAAAAAAAATTACGATACGTTAAAAAAAGATAAAATATTAACCATACAACACAAAGGGATAGATATTTTCAGTGCCGTGAAAACCTACTTGCCAATACTGTTGACCCCAGTTTTCCTCGCTCAACGAATTAGTATCGCAATACAGCGAGGAAATGCTGCCAGCGTTAAAGGCACACTGCCACAGGGACCAAACTTTTTAAATTTTTTAAATATTTTGTACACGCACCCTTCTTTTAATTAAGAAAATTGTAAATACTATATATGTTTATTTGTAAATTATGTTATTCTTGCCTTAATTATTAATAATCATTAATATATTAACTATTATATAGGGAGCTGTAAACTACACTGTATTTTTAATTATGGTTCAGGTAAAGATATTACAATAGGTACAGTAAAAAGCTTCGATGTAAGTCGTGACAGCCAGACATAATATGGGTTATAAATGTAAATTATTTTCTGGAATAATTTTGTGTATACAGTCTGGAGCTACCAGACAATTGAAGGCTGGAAATAAATGTTTATAAATCAGTGTTGCTTTGTCACTGATAATTTTGAAACAAATGCACACAGTCAAAGGAAAAGATAAGAATGATTAAACATTGATTTACTTCTTTTTGCCGCCATTTAAATCCTGAGTTAGCACATCAATGGATGTTATAAACACGATAGTTGTCTGTTTTATTAAATGGATCCAACAAAATCTAGAAGATATGTAATATTTATGTTTTATATGATTATTATTGCATTTTTTTTAATAATAAGAAAGCGTTACCATGCCAACGAAGATAATACTATCATGGGTTCACGTTTTATAGTAACACCAAATTGGTTTCGTCAACATAATTATTATTATGTAATATCCCTATATTTATAAACAATTCCTTTGACTTTGCTTTTGTCTTAATTATATAAAATTTTTACCTTTTACTTCAATTATAAATCCCTGTAGTCAGGAGTTCTGGCAGATCACTCTGTAGTGCCAGTTGTGGCTGATACATATAATTTTGTTGTGTATAAAATCAATAAATATATACTCGACTTTCTATTGTATTCATTTCAAGGCCTCCGAACATTAGAATTAGTCAATATAATTAGCAGAAGTATGATAAGTTTAGACTTGCATATTGATCTCATCAAAAGCTTTTTATGGCGAAGCTCTAATATACTAAAAGCTGCCCCATACAAAACACTACTTATACCATCAGTATTGTTACTAAATAATACTCTTGAACAGGACAGAGTGGACTTATTAAAGGTTGTTCTAAATTCTTGGGGAAAACTAACCGACTCGCGAATTCTGTAAACTCTAAAGACTCACTTTGTACATTACGATGTCAACCGTGTAATAAATTCCAACGCGGTTCATACCGGTCTGTAGAATTTATATGAAAACTTATTTCCAAGCTCTCGACTTTCCAACTATTAATGTGCTAATTTTGTCTTTAAAACTTTGGCAAAGCTGTTAATAAGAATCTTGCACCAGTCATTTTCACTTATTAACATTAACTTACGTTCAGTGTCGCTAATTTTTATGTTCTTTGTTTTCTATGGGAGTATAGCCTGCTTGAAGTTCAATGGATATTTACCGGTTTTTTATACTTCTAGTCAGAAAGTATACTTTTTTTTAATATCCATTTGTTTATACCCCGTCACTGGAATGGAAGAGACTGGCCGGAAAGTAAACTACAGACTGATGTATAGCATGAAGTCCTGGAAACTTGGCACTCTATAAATCAACATCACGGACTACACGTCGGATTGAAACTGTTTTTGTCATTAGAAATTTCAAAAGCAATGTTACAATTCTCTCCGTAGTATAAAAAAGCCGCTTTCCGTTGTAACACAAGAATATTTTAACCGCTATTCTATTTCTACGCAGACTAAAATACGCGATCGCAATAGCTAATTACTATTTATTTTGTTTTTTTTTGTGATTATAGGCCGGCAACGCACTCGTGAGGCATTGAGAGTGTCCATGGGCAGCGGTATTACTTAACATCAGATGAGCCTCCTGCCCGTTTGCTCCATGTTCTAAAACAAAAATAATAACGACAAGAAAAGAGATGTACAATTGAATTCAGAAGTACTTGAAACTACAATATTGTCTTTCCAAGGTAATAATATTTCGCTCAAAGTTTTCAAACTAACATTAGAGTGGGTCGTGTGCGGGATGTTAATCATATCTTGGTACATCAACGAGCAAATAAAATTTTGTGGTATTCGTGAAAATCTCGGGACGAGTGCCAAATGTCACGCTTGACAGTTGTGGCCTATTTTCACGGAAATTGTAAATATTAAATAAGTTTTGAAAATGTCGTAGCTGTTAAATAACGCTGACGTGCGAGTGTTAATGAGGAAGATGATCAGGGTGGGTTAACAGACAAATTTTAAGTATTAGTTTTTTTGTGGAATGTTTTTGAAGTTTTTCTTTTACATCTAATATCATTAGCAAAAGCTAGTTAGATTTATTGATACCGTTAACAATAACAATAGCCTTAAATAAATGTATACGTGTGTGTTTAAGATTTAGTTGTGTGTATAACACAAAACGGACTAAACTAGATTCAATGTTCTATTCGACATAGTCTTTGGTGTCGAATAAATTAAATAAACGTAGCTTTGCGTATCAAGCTGAAATCTCACTTTCCCTCATCTAGATTTTTTTTCTAAACAATTTTTTTTAATTCTTTGACATAATGTGTTACTGAACTCTTATTACCTATTGCCAAGGCTAGGCCTAGAGACTATTTTTTTATTTATAGGTAGTCACATAAACAAAAAAAGGAAAGAAACAAGTTATACGTAATGCTCTTAGTCAAAGTCAAAGTCAAATCGTTTATTTCAATTAGACCATCTAAAATGGCACTTTTGAACGTCAAAAAAAAAATATAAAGATGATTCTAGTTGCCCCTTCCAAAAGGTAGTTTCGTGTGGAGAAGAATGGGCAAGAAACTCCACACTTACTCTTTTAAAATAGGTTTACAATATTTTGTTACATTTGTTAAATAATTATATGTGAAGACAATGTACTCTTAGAATAAACTACTATACTAAAAAAGTTAGTATACATGTTCCTCACATATTTACAAATATCGAAGCAAAAGAACCTAAGGAAGTGATAACAGTATGCCCCTCCCTTTATGATACTTAATCCGTATACCTAAATAGTGTTTAATTTCAATAATATCTATTAATAATTAATTAGAAAAGATCTCCCAGCAATTACCTAAATAGACCTTTTATTACGCACAAATTTTTTCGTCAAATCGTTTACGTTAAACCTCTCCGT